TTGCCATTAACTGTGTCCAGGGGACTTGTCAGTACTTGGCAAAGCAGTGTTGTGAAATCACAAGGCACAGACTTGTCTGCATTAATATTCAGTCAGTATAGACAACATTTTTTCTTAGGCATGCAGTATATTCAGTTTTGTTTGAGAAATAGTGACTAGTTTCACTACATTATGTAAACCTGCACTAAAAACAGTAATTCTGCACTGCAGGAGTGTGCTGACTGTGCGTATTATAATCATGGGATCCCCCAACTAAAAAGGAAAAGAAGAAAAAGAAGACCACTTTCTGCTACTTACCAGTGGGCCTGTGAGTCGTAACACTTGGTAGAGTTCTTCTCTGTAAGCCTGCGGCAACAAGCGTTTCATGCAACTACACTCAAAGAGTTTGGATCTCACCCATGATGCACCCTCGTCTTCCACAGCCCCTGCCGTCTTAGCAACAGAAACCTCAGCAACGGGCCCTGCACCGGGCAAGGGGTGTGCTGGTTCCGGTGAATCCAGCTTCTCCATTCAAACACAGAAAGAGAATACAGACGGGAGAGAGGAGAGAGAAAAGTTAGAAAGCACTGGTGGGAGGGAGCGAGAGTGGCAGGGAGGGAGTGGGGTAAGAGAGTGCAAGGGTAAGAGGGGCAATTGGCCTATCTGGGTTTAGAAGTGCGACACATGCACTTCTTAGAAGTTATTGATTAAATTATGTGGTTTTGGGATGTGGTGGTGGAAACAACAGATTAAACAAAATAGAGAAAATAAACATGGGAGGTGACGGCTGGAGAGGTTTTGGAAAAGAACAGAAGACCTTTCTGATACAAGGATCAAAACAGGGCTGACAAACGTGTCTTGAAGTTGGGGGAGGGAATGCAACGTGTTTGAGTATTTGCTCTGTGTGCAGTGTACGACTGCGTGCTTTGTGAATATGTTACATGGCATATTTTGTCGTGTGGGTTTACTTGCGCGTTTGAGTGGTCTTGCAGGGCTCAGTGGTAATCTGATGAGGAATGCCTTGTTTTTCAGTGTATACAAGGAATTTTGATGGCATCTGATCTGCAGGCTTTGAGTAATTGGTGCAGGGCAGTCATGCTGTTTGTGTTTGTGTGTGCTGGTATTAGCCATTGATTGTAGCTCCCTCTGAATGGACTTTGACTAATGATTTTTGGAGTTGTCCTTCCTCGTGTCACATAAATCAACAAAGTCACATGAGCACAAAAACCCGACCGCTCTACAACTCAAACATTTACTCACAAGCATTTACAGATAACTTGACTTTATAGTCTTTATAGTCGACTGACTATTGAGAATAGACCACCTCTCACAACACATGGGGACCTGTAAATCCTATAAACTTACATTTATATGTTAATGAATTGCCTGACGACTGATGGTGATTTAATCACTGAAACTCCAAAAAGGCACAGTGTGGAAATGAACACCTAATACATCTCATGTCCACGTGATCAAACTGATTTTAACCTGGCCATGGGCTCAGTCAGAAGTTAAAGAATTAGTTTACACAGTAGAGCTGAAAAGTGTGTGTGTGTGTGTGTGTGTGTGTGTGTGTGTGTGTGTGTGTGTGTGTGTGTGTGTGTGTGTGTGTGTGTGTGTGCCTGCACATGGATAGAAAGAGTTTCCTGTCCATAGTGTGCGATCCAGTCAATTGTGCAACAGCATCATAAAGAGTGTCTTTTTACACCTCAGTTTGTGTTGCAATTGCA